ACACACACACACACACACACACACACACACACACACACACACACATCCCTCTTGCTTTACTGCCATTTCTTTGTTATTTTTATTTTTTTCAAGAAAGGGTCTCATGTAGTCTAGGCTGGCTTCAAATTCAAACTCTGTAGCAAAGGCTGGCCTTGAACTCCTGTTCTTCCTGCCACCACCTCCCAAGTGCTGGGGTTAGAGGTGTGCACCACCTCGCCTGGCTGCTTTCGTTTCTTTCAAAGTGCACATCAGGCTTGCTAGAGTGAACACTGAAGATTGTGGCGGTCCAACCATACACCTGGCACATTCAGTGATCTCCTTCAGCCCTCACAGTGCAGAGAAGAGAGGGTTGCTGAGGAGATGAACAGGGAACTGAGACAGGTTAAATAAGTGACCTGGGGCTGCCCAGTGAGTAAGAGCCTGGACTCTCTGCTCAGGAGGTTGGTCCTGGCTGCAGAGCCCACTGTAGCTACTGCCCATACCAAAGCCTGCCTTGCGGGAGGCCTCAGGTTCTGGCACACTGTTACAGGGGGAAATGAGGAAACACCTTTAATTTTGTTAGTTTGGTCTATATCTGAATCTCTCAGCATTTGGGATCTTCCCTGATTCAGGACATTCTTTGATCTCAATTTAGCTTAATCTCAGCACCATTAGAAGTCCTGTCTTCATGGGCATGGGTTGAATAAGAAAGAAAACTGCTCCTTGGTGGGTGACCGGAAGGTGACACATAAGGCCACTTCATGGCAGGATGATCTTTTCCCTCACATCCTCCAGAACGAGGCTTAAGAGGTGCTGCATGAGGGAACATGGCGGATGTTAGCCATGCGTGGGCCGTGGCAAGGATTTAAAGACTCAAATAGGCGTCTGCTAAAGCAGGCAAGCGCGTGGTAGACCTTTGCCAGGCCTGCCCACTCCTCTGCTTCCACCTCCCCAGGAGAGAAGCTGCTCGAAGGGCAGGTGATCCAACTGGAAGACGGGACCACTGCGTACATTCACCAGGTGACGATACAGAAAGGTGAGGCACCCACACAGGCCTGGCAGCCCCCACTGAGGTGCCCTCCGTGGCCATGAGCTCCAGAGGACTGTTGGTGTTGCTCTCTTTTCAGAGCCTTTCTCCTTTGAAGATGGTCAGCCCGTGCAGCTGGAGGATGGCAGCATGGCCTACATACACCACACACCCAAAGGTGGGCCCATGGTCTGCATGGCGGTGGGGAGAGAAGAGGCGGAGCTGGAGAGGCTGGGGGAGTGAGGGCAAGCATGCTTACCTCAGAACAGACTTGCGTGGGCCTGCCTGCCCGGGCAGACCCCAGAAGCTGCTGCCTCTGCCATGAGAGGGCAGGCTTCACCACAGACCAGGGAAAGAAACCTAATCTTTAACAGCTCCTCAGTGGGGGTAGTGGTTCCTACCTGTACTCCCAACACTTGGGAGGCTAAGGCAGGATTGCCAGGAGTTCAGGGACAGCCTGTGCTACGCAGTGTGTTCTGGTTCGGTCAGGGCTATGGAATGAGGCTGTGTCAAAGACTCAAAAGAACAAAGTTTCCAGAATAATCACTTATTCTGGAGGGAGTTTCGTGGCAGGTACACACTAGGCGCTGTGTTAGTGCTGGGGCACACACAGCAGAGCCTCATCAGCCAGGGCCCTCCTCAGTACAGGCTAGCCCACATGGAGGGACGGAGTGTGCCAGCGAGCAGGCGCGGGAGCTCCTGTGAGCAGACGGACGGACTCATCACAGCCCGGCTGCTAAAGTTGAGCCTTCCCCTTTTGACCCCTTAGAGCACAAGAAATTTGACATGGTCCTAGATGTGTAGTTATGTAACATTTCTATACAGATAATCAGCCACAGATAATGAATCAGAAAGAGATTTACAGTTGCTGGGCTGGAGGGATGACTGAGCAGTTAGAAGCACTCACTGCTCCTACAGAGGACCCAGGCTTGGCACATACTTTTGTTTTTTAAGACAGGATTTCTCTGTGTAGCTTTGGTTGTCCTGGACTCACTTTTGTAGAATGCTGGGATTACAGGCATGTGCCATTGTGCCCAGCTATAAACATTTTTAAATCTTAAAAAAAAGACCAGTTCTTTGGCAGCTCTAACATCACTGTTATTAAGGCAAATGTGATCTGCACACCGAGCTCTAGGCTGATGTTTGGACCACAGGATGGTGATAGATGCGGCCGTAGAGCATCTTCAGCGTTCAGACTTGACTGAAAGCAGACGTGATTATAAAGTCAGTGCCCCTCACATCGTGTAGTGCAGAATGGCAGCAGCATGTTAGAGCCATCTCAGAAATGGTTGGAGCTCTGTCCTAATCCCAGGTCAGAACTCACTTAGCAATTTTTATGAAATTCAAGTCAGCAAGTCAAACTGCGGTTTCTAAAAATTCAAATGTATAACACAACATAATCCAAATGCAGACTCGATACTTGCTGAGCGGTGACAATAGGAAAATACTCGGTTAAACGATTAGGTTTCTGTGAGAACAGGACACTGGATGAAGAGTCAAAACTGCAGCCCATAGCACAAAGTCTGCCCTGAGATGTTTCAGACAGGGCTGGCTTGTGTCGCGAGGTTGGACAGCATGCGGAATTTAAAGTGTGTGTTGCGTGTTCAGCACGGGGCCTGCAGCCACTTGAGCAACACTAGCAGCACTCCCAGGCACGCCTCCAATTCACTGCGCATTTTGTTTTGAATCAGTTTTTAGCCGCTGCATATCCAGAAACAGTTGGACTAGTTTTTCACAGGTGCAGCGTTCAGTTAAGTAGAGCCATGTGGGGTCACAGGCCAAGCAGCTGGGAAGCAGTGGGAGAGGAAAGGCAGGGCAGGCTCAGCGCTCCAGACAGGACCAGCCTGTGCAGGAGTGGATGTGGGAGGTGACCTCAGGAGAATGGCACATCCAGTGAGCCACTGGGGCAAGAGTGCTGGGAAACAGGGCGAGGAGATGAGAGCCAAGGCCAGAGCACGTCCGGGTCATCGGAATAGAGATCTGGTTCTTTATCCTGACACCGGATGGACTGGGGTGGGGGCTGATGAGATGAGCCACCAGGCAGGAAGCCCTTAGGGTAATCTAGGTCAAGATGAGAATGGGCCAGGCCCTCTAGGAGGCAGTGAGCCCCAGTCCGTGTCCTCTGGAGGCCTTGTCCCTATGGGGGCAGCCCCAGGAGGACAACAAGGAAGATGAGCACAGTGAGGTCTGAGGAGTTTGCCCAGTGAACCCCAGGGTGTACTCGCTGCACATAGTCAGGGTCTCAGCTGGGTCTCCTGTGTGGCATCAGGACTAACCTCGTGTGCCCTGTAGAGGGCTATGACCCCAGCGCCCTGGAAGCTGTGCAGCTGGAAGACGGCTCCACCGCCTACATCCATCACCCCGTGTCTGTGCCGTCCGACAGCACCGTCCTGGCCGTGCAGACAGAGGTGGGCTTGGAGGACCTGGCAGCAGAGGATGAAGAGGGCTTCGGCGCAGACACGGTGGTGGCCCTGGAGCAGTACGCAAGCAAGGTGAGCACCACCTCTTGGCTCTGCCAAACCGTCTTCTCTAGCTAAGTGTAGTAGTCCCTGCCCGGGATCCCAGCCCTTGGCATGTTTAAACAGGAGCTTGGAGCCATCCTGGACCACACAAGAGCCTGTCTCAAACCAAACCAAAACATAGACCATCACTTCTCTAGAGACACTGGCCAGCCCGTGCCCAGATACAACCAGGGCTGCTCGCACCCCCGTGCCTCTACCCCAGCTCCCTGCCACTGCTCTTCTCTCCTTTTGAGCCACTGAGCACCAGGACAGCTGTGCGCTTACCCTTGTTTATACTGTCTGAGGGGAGAAGGCTGCTCTCCGGAACAGTGGCTTCTGTGTGGCAGGAAGTCAGGCCCAGCCCTCGCAAGCTGCCGTGATAATCCTCTGCTCTTTGGGAAAGCTCTGCCTGTGTCCTTTTATTGGTATTCCCATTTACTGAAGTAAGATGCTGGTATATTTATTGCTTCTCTGAGACTTATGTAGTCATTTGGGAAAATAAACCCAGCAGGCAGTTTGCAGGCATGTGTCCCAGAGAAGCTGGGATTATTGGAACATGAGGCCTGTTGAGAAGGGCACTGAATCTCCCAGAGTCTTTGCTGGACCTGTGGTCCTGCCCACTGAGGACTGCAGTGGAGACCCGTGAGCCATGGGCATGCTTCCACACTGGGCTTGGACCACAGAGCCTTGATGGTCTGGTCGGTCAGGGCTAACCTGCAGGCTGGGAGGGGTTAGTTTCTGAGTTGCAGAGGAAAGAGGAAGTTTTCATATCTCTTTGAAAGGAAGCACAAACCTTACCACAGCCCCTTCGCCCTACAGTATGTTCAAGGCCAAATGTGAGACAAGGAGAACTAGGCTTTCGTTAAAGCAAGCGCCTTGAGGTCAGTGCTGGCTCTGCCACTACCTAGTCCAGCCTTGGGCGAGGCCTCCCAGGCCCAGGCTGCGTGGGTCCAGGTGGTTTCAGAAGCCACTTTCAGCCCTGATGTCTCCATTCCCTCAACCACTGTGCTAGCTCCTCCTCGGCAGGGTCTCCGCTGGGAGGAGAGGACTTGCTTCCCAGCCCCAGCCTCCTAGGTGTGTGTGGTCCGCAGGGGGTCCAACTCAGCCTAGTTCAGGCCAGCCCTGCTTCCCGCCTTCCCTCCCACACCCACCAGGCTGCCCCATGCCTGTGCACCAGCCCTGTCTCTCATGTAGCATGCCTGCATGTCTGTCCCTGTCTGTCTACATGTCTCTGTGCTTCAGATGCACGCCCTCACAAACATCATGGCAGTGACAATTATGGAATTTTGTTTTCTTTAAAAACAAGCCAAAAAAAAAAAAAAACAAAAAACAAGCAAACAGTGTTTTTGCTTTAATCCTGGGTGTGGGGATGCAGGCTACTTCTTCTGTCCACAGCAACTGACTGTGATTTGCCTCGTGCCCTGGCAGAGGTGTGGTAATGGCAGCTGCAGATAGTTTCTGTGATTGTGTGGCATTTGGAATTCTGGGAACATTTTGAAGGGTACATAAATGTTAGGGCCTTGAGAGACAGGGTTGGTGGTTGATGGTGTTTGTGGGAGTTGATTGCAGTTTGCAGTCAAGCTCAAAGAAGAAAGAAGTTAGGTTCAAGGATCTCTCTCTCCCCTCTGTCCTTCTCTCCTATCTAGTGAAACCGGGGTGAGGGGGCTGGTAAAAGGGGGTGGGAAAGATAAGAACTCACAAAGTAGCAAAGACAAGCTACACATCATCTATATGCAGTAATACAGAATAAATTTAAAAAGGAGTTCCGGTTCTAAGCACATCACTCAAGGGACTGTTGTCTTCTTGCCTCCTCCCTTCCCTTCTGGAACCACAAGCCTTTGGCCACAAGGAGCCATGCCATGCTGTGGGGTTTGAAGGAGAATGCTTGAGCACTTGGTCCCCAGTTGGTGATGCTGTTTGGGGACATTTAGAAGGAGCAGCAGGAAGTGTGCTTCTAGGCATAGACTTTGAGATTTTTCTTTTCTTTTTCTTTCTTATTTTTTGTGACAGGGATTCTCTGCGTAGCCTTGGCTGTCCTGGGGTCACTTTGTAGACCAGGCTGGCCTTGAACTCACAGAGACCTGCCTGCCTCTGCCTGCCAGAGTGCTGGGATCACAGGCATGACTTTGAGATTTAACACCTCCTGCCACTTCGGTTCATTCTGTTCTGTGCTGTGTTGGAAACTGTGAGCTCACAGCTTTCCAGGTCCTGCCCCGTGCAGTCTCAGTTCTGTTCTCTGGGTCTTAGACTATTAGCAGGGCCTTATATCCTCCCTTCTCATCCCCTCAGGGACTACATAGAGGAACACCAAGATATTTTTTTCTCAGGTTCTGCACGATAGCCCAGCTCCCCATAATGGCAAAGGGCAGCATGTTGGAGACAGAGCCTTCCGCTGTGGCTACAAGGGTTGCGGACGTCTCTACACCACCGCCCATCACTTAAAGGTAAAGGCTGGCAGGCCACTTTCAGCCCTGTTCTCTTCCCCATAAGGCTGTAATTCTGCTCTGGCACTGCCCTGGCTCTGCCTTCATGTCACTTGCTGGGAGGGCAGGCTTACAGAGCTGTGCGCAAAGGAAGCTGGGACACAGATAGTGTGGGAGGGAAGAGAACCAAAGAACTCAGCCCATCCTCTGAGTTCTGGGTTCACTTTTCCTCACAGGTACATGAACGAGCTCACACAGGCGACCGTCCGTACAGGTGTGACTTCCCCAGCTGTGGAAAGGCCTTTGCGACAGGTAACACATGGGGATTGGCGTCCAGTTGACGCCAATCAGGGTTCTAGATCCACTCGGGGACCTCTTCAAAGGTGGCGGAGCACAGAGCATTATTCCAAAGAAACCACTGAGGCACGTGTTCTCTGAAGACCTGCTCCCAGTGAAAGGCCGTGGGGCCTGCGAACAGGCTGCGGCACAGGCAGAAAGGCCTGCCTCTTGGGTCAGCTCTGGTCGCCAGCAGCTGTGGCCTCCTGAGGGCTGTGGCCTCTCTGGCTTGGTCTCCCCTGTGAAGCAAAGACCTGTAGGGCCTGCTTCTCGAGGCTCCCTCTAAGGCCGGAACAGGTCACAGGGCACAGTGGGCTTTTCCTGGATAGAACGGGACAGAGGCTGTCCTGGGCCTCTGGAGCCTTCCGGAGCATCATTTAAACCAGAGAGCCTCTAAGTAAGGTTGGCAGTGAGGGATGAGGCTCTGCTGACTGCTCTTCTCACCTCCCGCCACACACGGATAGGCTATGGGCTAAAAAGTCACGTGCGTACTCACACGGGGGAGAAGCCATACAAGTGCCCAGAGGAGCTGTGCAGCAAAGCCTTCAAGACCTCAGGAGACCTTCAGAAGCACGTCCGGACCCACACAGGTAGGCTGGGCCCACCCCATCCACAGGGGCCAGGGGCTCACTGTGCTTTTCAGACAGAGGCCCAGAGCCCACGGCCATGTCTTCTTGCTCCGGTCCTCCTGAGTCATCCCTCAATCTACACAGGCGAGCGCCCGTTCCGGTGCCCTTTTGAGGGCTGCGGCCGCTCCTTCACCACCTCGAATATCCGCAAGGTACACGTGCGTACACACACAGGCGAGCGGCCCTACACCTGCCCCGAGCCCCACTGTGGCCGCGGCTTCACCAGCGCCACCAACTACAAGAATCACGTGCGCATCCACACAGGTGGGCCAGCTGGCATGTGAGGACCCCCCTCCCCAGGCCCCACATCCCTCTTGGGTAGGCATCTGATCGGGCCACCTCTCAGCTCCAGGCCTTCCCCGCCGCCACTCCAGGCTGGGCTGGGTGGGCACCCTGAGCCGGCTCACCGACCCCGAGCGGTCGGTTCCCCATCGGTCGCTGGGTCTAGTCCGACAGGCCTTGTCCACCCTCTGTAGAGTTGGACAGCTCCTAGCCACCCTCGGGCACCCCTCTGAGCTCGGGAGGAGGCCCGGGTCAGGGATGCTCTGGAGGAAGCAGTGAAATGTCACCTTCATCCGAGCATCTGCTACGCATATGACTCTCGTGTCCTTACCTTCCATCGTCTCTCAACCCTCCCACGCTCCCTCAACACTCCCCTCCCTGCCTCCCCCGTGTAAGCCTGGCTCACTCTTTCCAGCCTGTGTCTGGGTGCAGAGGCCCCGCTCTCGTGCCCCCCTGTCTCCCACAGTCTTCCCCAGCTCCTGCCTCTCAGGCTCAGTTCTCCGTCCTGCCCTCCCCTTCACCAGCCCTGTCCCCTAGCTTCCCCCTGGCCAGCCCCAGTCCCCACCCCCTCACAGCCCCGTGTCCCCAGGGGAGAAGCCATACGTTTGCACGGTGCCAGGCTGCGGGAAGCGCTTCACGGAGTACTCAAGCCTGTACAAGCACCACGTGGTGCACACGCACTGCAAACCCTACACGTGCAGCAGCTGCGGCAAGACCTACCGGCAGACCTCCACCCTCGCCATGCACAAGCGCAGCGCGCACGGGGAGCTGGAGGCCACCGAGGAGAGCGAGCAGGCGCTGTACGAGCAGCAGCAGCTGGAGGGTGAGGGCACGGAGCGCCCAGGCGGGCCGAGGCTCTGCTGGGCCTGGCGGCAGGTGACAACCTCGGCTCTCCTCTCCTAGCGGCCTCCGCTGCCGAGGAAAGCCCACCACCCAAGCGAGCCCACATCGCTTACCTTTCGGAAGTGAAGGAGGAAAGTGCTGACATCCCAACCCAAGTAGCCATGGTGACGGAGGAGGACGGGAACCCCCAGGTGGCTCTGATCACTCAGGATGGTACCCAGCAGGTAGAGGCCCTGGGGATACCCGGAACAGTTCCCGAATGGCCCCTGACGTGCCCACCCTCCCCGCCAGCCAGGCTCTGTCTCGCCTTTATGAAGCTCAGAGAGCTGCAGCTGAGGGCACGCGTGTGTCACCCGGGCCTGCTCCTCCCAGGCTCTCCCTCTGGATGATAAGCGTGTGCTCAGGGGTGCCACATCAGTGAGTCTCGAAGCCCGCAGTCTGCCCGTGCTGCAGCGCAGCGCACCCTGCCCCTTGGCCATGCGGCACTGCCCGGTGTGTCTCTTCCTTCTAGAGTGATCAGGAAGACGAGTTAGGCCGAGGCCCTGGCCTGCATGTAGTCGGTTACCGAGCAGAGTAGCAGGAAGTAGAGGGGTCAGCAGAGCACGCCCTCACCGGCTCTCTGCAGCCCGGGCCCTGCTGTGCCTGCCCCCCGCCCAGTGCTCTACCCCTGGCACCAGAAGCTGCCCAGCTTACTGTAGCTGAGCTTGTCCAGGGCGCTGGGTGGGCCTCCCCTGTGCTCCAGCTTGCCTCCCTCCCGTCGGCAGGTCAGCCTGTCCCCAGAAGACCTGCAGGCCCTGGGGAGCGCCATCAGCATGGTGACTCAGCACCGCAGCACCGCCCTCGCCATCCCCAGTCAGCACGAGGAGCTGGCCGCCTCTGGCACACACACTGTCACCATGGTCAGCGCCGATGGCACCCAGGCTCAGCCCGTACGATCAGGCAGTTTGCTCATTCTGTGTGTCCCTTCCCATGGTGGGGAGGGGGGATGGGGAACATCAAATGTGCTGACCAAACTCATCACGATTTCTCATGAGACAAAGATAGCATGAGATGTCTCCCTGCCAGGCCTCATTGTATGGGCCTGTAATTGTTGCTACTCGAGAAGCTACGGCAGGGGGATCACAAGTTTAAAGTCAGTCTGGGCAGCTTAGTGAGAACCTGCCTCAAAAACTGCAAAAGCCTAACAAGGACTAGGGATGCAGCTCATTGGTCGTTTACCTGCCCTACTGTGCACAAATCCCCAAACTCAGTCCCTGGGCCTGTCACTACCACATTGCCAGCCTCCAAGAAAATCCTGCAAGTTGAAGGGAAAAATCTAACCTTAATTACTTCTGAGCCCCAAACTATTTAATCTGACCCATCGTGGCTTTCTGCTTCCTTTCTGTGTCGCTCCCAGCCTCTGGGGTACATGTGCTTGTGTGGGCAAGGCACAGGAGCCGGGGTCGGTAGACAGTCTTCCTGCTTGCTTTCAGGTCACAATCATTACCTCCGGGGCCTTGGTGACTGAGGAGTCAAGTGTGGCAACTCTCCATCACCAACAGGTGGCACTGTTGGCCACGGCCAACGGAACACACATCGCAGTGCAGGTGGGTGGAAAATGGAGGAAATGGGGTTCCTGCCCGGAGAAGGCAGCTGGACAAGAGGAACGGGGTGCTGGCCTGGTGAAGGAGGGCGAGTTCAGGCTCCTCTCCGCCTACATCCAGCATCTGGCAGAGGCAGAGCGAGGAAGTCCTTTTCCTTGGGGGGTGGCTGAGGCAATGGGCCTGTAGTTCAAGCCTTTGTCTTCTGGAGTCTTGCTCTTCACCTGGGAGGTAAAGAGGCCAGAGCACATTCTCTCCAAGGACCTTTCTAGTCAGGTACTCTTCTGTAAGCTGGCTGGTGTCTCCTACACAGAACAGGCAGCTGGCCCAGGTCGTGCCTAATAGAACCTTTATCTGTCTATTATCTATCTATCTATCTATCTATAGACTATTTATTTATTATATTATTTTATTTATTTATTTATTGGTTTTTCTAGACAGGGTTTCTCTGTGTAGTAGCCTTGGCTGTCCCAGGCGCGCTTGTCCACCTGCCTGGCTAACAGGACTTTTTATCTGGGAGTTTCCCCTATTGGAGCCCTAAGAAGAAAGAGCAGGTGGGGCTGGACAGTGGTGGCGCACGCCTTGAGTCCCAGCACTTGGGAGGCAGAGACAGGAAGAGCTCAGCTCTGTGAGTTTGAGGCCAGCTGGTCTACAGAGCAAGTTCCAGGACAGCGGGGTGGTTACATAGAGAAACCCTGTCTTGACAAGCAAACACGAGCAAGTGGACCGACCACCCACACCCTGCTAGGGTCTGGAGGGGCCCTCACACTGTCCTCGTCTTCACAGCTGGAGGAGCAGCAGACCCTGGAGGAGGCCATCAGCGTAGCCACTGCTGCCATGCAGCAAGGGGCTGCGGCCCTCGAAGCCTCAGAGAGCGGCTGCTGAGCCCAAGAGGACTGGCTCCCACACCGTGCCAGAGAAGGTGCCATGCTCACAGGCAGCCCTGCCTCCGGGGGCCCTGGCTGTGGCTGAGCCCAAGAAGATGGCTGCATAGGCCTCCAGAGTAAGAAGGCAACAGGAAAATGGCCTCTGGTAGAAAGGGCTGAGGCCCACACCCAAGATGAGGGTCGGGCAGCGGGTGCTGAAGATGTCCAGCTGGGGGACCAGGCTGCCCAACCCCTGCTTTCCTCCCTCGGGAGAACGTTCTTCCCGCTTCTGTCCGCTCCCTTTCTCAGGGAGATGGGAGCCAGGTGGACGAGGACTAGCCTCCACCCTGACTGGTTGGGCCACCAGGAGAAGGTCGACAGCTCTTCAGCCCAGAGCCTCCCAGCAATAACCATCTCCTGGGGGTAGGGTAGCCAAGATGCCTCGCCACTTGGCATCAGGGACTTCCTGCCACCACAGTCAGAATTAATTCCTCAGGGGCCTGGGGCTGGAGAAAAGGGGTCGCGCCACAGCTCCCGGTGGCTCTCACCTGTCTGTGGCAGAGTGACAGAGAGTGGCCTGCACTGCTGGGGAGCGGGCTTACTTTGTTTTGTGGTTTGGTTTTTTAATTCTATTTTGATAATTATTTTTTTTTCCTGCTCTGGGTAGTGGCGGCAAACGGGTGAATGAGTATTTAATAAAAGTTGCAAGTTTCCACTTGGGCTTCTCCATCGTTTCTGCTGGCCCAAGCCAGCCTGCCTCCCTAGCACAACCCTGCACAGCCCAGCTGGCAGGCAGCTCTCCATGGGCCCAGGCAGGAGGAGGCCCCAGGAGAGCTGGGACCTGAGCCCTGAGAGCTGCTGGCAGGCTTCTGCCCACACCTACACCAACAGGGCCAGAGTGGTCGTGGTTCCCACATGGCTGAAGCTTGGGGCTGCTCGGCTGGGAGAACTCTGGGTCTCCTGCCTTGACTTCACTGAATGGAGCCTGAGCCGGCCCTTCTCAGCCACCCCCACCGTACACAAAGCTTCAGGGAGCCTCACCAAGGGACTAAAGCCTCGATGCTCCAGCACTGACATCCCAGCTCTGTGCCCCCGGGAAGGCGGCAGGACATCTAAGCCCAGGGTGAGGGATTCCAAAGACACTGGGGGACTCTACTGAAGAGCGTAAGAAGACCAGGACAACCCCAACAGACCAGGCGCTGGCGGCACCTCAGCCGTATGGGACCATTGTAGGAACCAGGGGTGCCTCTTCCTGCCCCTAGCCCTCTCTCTACACGATGCTCTATTGGACTCTAGCTCCTTCCTGCCACTGAGAGCAGAGCCAGACAACCAAGGACCAAGTGCCCCCCTCCCTGGGTACCCAGGAAGCTCACGGTTGGGGTTTTTGGGACAGAATTGTGCTTCATAGCCTGAGCGCCTCAGACTCACCCTAAGTTTTAGAGCCTCAGGGAAGGAGCTACAGTGTGTCCCTCCGAGTCCTGCTTCCCATTTACCCTGAACACCAGCCTTGTGGAAGTACAGGGGCTGGGCGTGCTCCCCGGGTAGGGGGAGGCTCCCCGAGTTAGCTCAGAAAGGCTCCATTGAAATCTCATGGCCACCGTGATACGGGCGCACCCCAGTCTGTGTGCACATTGCATGGGAAGAAGCAGAGGCATCGCTGAAAAGCACCCTTCTCCCGGCCTGCCCCTGTCAGGACTTCAGAGGTGAGCCCCACTGTCAGGGTCACCCTGTGTGCCTGGATGCAGGCTCTGGTGCCGGTGAGCAGTGTTGTCAGGTTTCTTTGAGAGCCAGGGCTCAGGGAAGGGGAGAAAGTAAGCAAAGGGCCACGCCACCCCGTCCATTCTCCCTCCAGCTGGCTTTCTTCTGCTTGGGTAGAGCTCCCCACGGAGCTCCTACCAGTGGCCCTGAAAGGAATGTCCCGTCCCACACCTGCTCAGGCCTCCACATGTCCCTGTGGGGTGGGAACTTGGCATCTTACTAGAACAGACTGAGGGTCAACTCGTCCAAGCTCTTCCACTTGGTAAGCCCAACTCCATCCAGAGTCCCTCCAGGTCAGGAAGGGCTTGCTTCTCTTCTTCTGGAGCTACTGCTGGGAGCCTGGCAAGGTTCTGGGGCAAGGAGGCGTCTACGGTGGCTGCCTGTGCCGAGGGAGCCAGCCCAGCCAAAGGAGGCTTCAGGCTCTGGGAAGGTTAGTCCTGGTCCCCTGTAAGGAGCAGGACAGCATGGCTAGAGCAACAGGCCAGCACTGGAAGCAAGAGGGCAGGCAGGTGGAGCTCTCGCTCCGCTCTGCACTAGGGCCTCCTCTCTGCGGTCTGCAGCCGTTTGCATTTCCTGAAACCGGATCTTGGTGTCAGAGCCGCTCCTGGGCCGGGGCGGGCGCCTCAGCCATGGCCCTGCGCAAGGAGCTGCTCAAGTCCATCTGGTACGCCTTCACTGCCCTGGATGTGGAGAAGAGCGGCAAGGTCTCCAAGTCCCAACTCAAGGTGAGGGGCATCCTGGGGGCCCAGGGGAGGCTGACCCACCTCACCAGTTCCCAGCCCTGAGAGTCAGCCATGGCAGCCTTCGCCACTCGGCAGGGCAAGCACCTTGCCACCCAGGAGCCCAGGCCCTGCGTGGAGTGCTGACGCAGGGTAACAGAGCCCATGTAGCCCAGTGGACGCTTCCCAGAGGCCCCAGGCTTGTGTCACCAGGGCCGCTGTCCAGAACCAAGCACCGTGACTGGACAGTAGAGGTGGCATCGTGAGGTTCTGAGATTGGGCAGCCAGGCCCCTTCCCAAGCTTCTTGTGGGCTCCCCAGTGTCATGCTTGGGCACGTACCCTGCTCCTCCCTGTGGCCTCCTCATAGCTTTGAAGAAAGACAGTGCTTGCTGGTTACTTCCTTTGGAGCCGAGAGCCTCCTCCATTTGCAAAGCAAGCAGTAATGTGGGCTAAGGGGTCACGGCCAAAGTCTCCGTGGTGTTACTACACGGCTCACTCACCGTCCTGCGCCACCTCCCAGCACAGGAACAACAGGTTGGGAAATTTGTCTTGTGCCTTGAGACCTCAGGCTGAGAGTGGGAGTGAAGAGGAGGGGAAGCCAGGCGGGGGGGGGGGCGGGAGGGGGACACCCATCAGTAGCCACCCCCGCTTCCACCCACCTCCACTTCTCCCTCCACCCCGGCATCTTAAAACCATCAGGCCTGGATGAAGGAGAAGGAGCTCTTCCTCCTTCCTGGGTAGGCGCCTACCCAGGGGAGAAGCCAGGGAAGGCAGCAGAGGTGTATGCCGTGGGAGCCAGGAGCACAGGACAATGCGTCAGAGCACCCCACTCTCTGAGCCTGCTAGGGATCTACTCACTCTCTGTAAATGCTTTCTCTTGAGGCTGCGGGGCCAGCACGAGGCTAGGCTCTCTCTCCCTCCCACGATCCCCTCAGAGGAGGGGTGTATTTACAACTTCCACTGTTAATGGGCCAAGACAGGAAACCGGGGCGGCAAGGGGGCAGAACAGACGCGGCCCACCTCCGTCTCAGCCCTGACATTGCTAAAGTTGGGACCTATGAACTCAGATGCCCCGGTTACTTCTGTCCCACCCCTTTAGCTGCATTTGTGAGCCTCTAATGGATAAGGTTGTAACGTCGTGGGGAAGGACGCCATCCCCGTTACCCCAGGGAGGCAGGTTACCCCTTCCATCCTGTGTAACCCCAGCTCACATCCTCTACTTGAAGGAAGCTGGATTATCTGAACCCCAATCCTGCAAAAACTGCCCCACACCCGCCTTCCTCTACCCTCTCTCTTTAGTACTGCACCACATGGCTTCTTGCTTCCATGTCTGTGACCTCTGACACCTCTCCAGGCTCTCTGTGTGCCTTGTGTGCAGAGGGCACAGCCCTTAAGCAGTTCGCATTTTGGGGTGTCATCAGTCAGGAAGGCCTCCCGACTAGAACCCCTCTGTGTTAGCTTCTGACTGGCTCATACCCACCCTGTCACCAGCACCCACAGGTTGAGTATCTCTGGGGAAGATTCTCGGAGGGTGTGCACGCTTGAACTGTGCACCTCACAGCCCAAATGGAGCCCACCTCCAGTGACATCTCTGGCCACACAGGATTGATAGTAAATGGCACATCTGCCGAGCTGGGCCTCGGGGAGGTGAGGCAGAAATGTCAGGGCCCTTGCGTATAAGGGAAGGGTTTCCCCCAGGCCCACAGTGGTAGATGCTGGGCCGGGAGGAAGTGGTGATAGGGCTGGAGGTGGGGAGAGGCAGAGGAGTAATGGAGAAGTGGTCAGAGGGCCGAGGAAGAAGCAGAGCAGACCGATAAACCAGCAGGGCTCACCCCCTCTGTAGCCTTGGTGAGAAGGAGGGAGGAAGGGAGGAAGGCTTAGCTGGTCTTAGCCTTTGTGCCCTGTGTTTGCAGCAGGCAGGAGACTGTATCCCCCTCCCCCCAGGTCATGCTGTATCTGTGAGTTGCCTCTGCTGCCCTTGGCCAGAGGAAGAGGAGAAAGGGCCGAGAAATGCCCAAGGGGCTGGATGGGGTGGTTGGCGCACCTGCCACCCCAGCGACCCCAGCGACCCCAGTGCTTAGGGTTGACACGGGACCCTCCAGAGAGTGTCCCTCCCAAAACAGAAACAAACAAGCCCAAAGGATGGGGAGTGGTTTCGCTTTTCCTAGCCAATAGAAGGCTGCTGGGGGAGAAACAAGGTTTCTTTTATGGTCTCTTATTTGGGTTTCATTGGGGGTGTTGTTTGTTTTATTCTGTTAATTAATTTATTGTTTGGTTGGTTGGTTTGGTGTGGTGTGGTTTTTTGAGACAGGGTTTCACTGTGTAGCCTTAGCTGTCTTGAAACTAGCTCTGGAGACCAGGCTGGCCTTGAACTCAGAGAGACCCACCTGCCTCTGCCTCCTGAGTGCCACTGAGTGCCTCCTGAGTGCGCCGCTGCCCAGCCCTGATGTGTTTATTTAGCTACTTCTTTAAATTTTATTGCATTTGCGTGTGTGTGTGAGTGTGTGCAGGTTGTGTGGACCATGGAGTGGTCCATGTGAAGGTCAGAGGACAACTTAGGAAGTTGGCTCTCTCCTTCCGCCAGGTCTCAGAGGTGGAGCCCAGGCTGTCGGGCCTGGGCAAGCTCTACCTGCTGAGCCTTCCTTCTCCATGCCCTCTGTATTGCTTTAGAAAGTCCAATGGCTTTTGTCTAGGTTGTTGTGAGTAGTGAAAACAGACCAATGAGAAGAGTTCTCCTGCCCAGGTGGCTTCAGATGGAACACTTAACAGTTGGGGACTAAGCCAGCGTGGTGGGCACGCCTATAATCCCAGCACTCAGGATGGCAGAGGCAGGCGGATCTCTGCCAGTTCAAGGCCAGCCTGGTCGACAAAGTGAGTCCAGAAGAGCCAAGGCTACACAGAGAAACCCTGTCTTGAAAAACAAAAAACAAAACAAACAACAACAACAAAAGAGTTGGGGACTGGGGGTTCTTTCCATGGTATCTTGTGTTTAATCCCAGTACTCAGTATAGCCCAGGCTAGCCTCAAAGTCACAGAGCTCCTTCTACCTCTGCCTCTGCCTCTGCCTCCCCCAAGTGCCGGGACTAATGGCTTGTGTCACCATGTCTTTTAAAAGGATGACTTGGGACCCACATAGAGGTCACACCTGTGATCCCAGCACTCAGGGGGCTGAGGCAGGAGGATTGCTGAGAATTTGAGGCCAGCCTGGGCAACAGGGTAAGAGCCCATCTCAAACAA